TGCAGACCCCTCCTAATCCTTGCAGACCCCTCCTAATCCTTGCTGACCCCTCCTGCTCCTTGCTGACCCCTCCTGCTCCTTGCTGACCCTTCCTGCTCCTTGCTGACCCCTCCTGCTCCTTTCTGACCCTTTCTGTTCCTTGCAGTTCCCTGCTCCTTGCTGACCCTTTCTGCTTCTTGCTGACCCCTCCTGCTCCTTGCTGCCCCTTCCAAATCCTTGCTGACCCCTTCCTGCTCCTTGCTGCCCCTCCTGCTACTTGTGACCACTCCTGCTCCTTACTGACCTTTCCTGCTTTTTGCTGACCACTCCTGTTTCTTCCTGCCCCTTTCTACTCCTTGCTGACCCCTCCTGCTCCTTGCTGACCCCTCCTGCTCTTCTGCTCCTTGCTGACCCTTCCTGCTCCTTGCTGACCCCTCTTGCTCCAGGCTGACCCTTCCTGCTTCTGTCTGACCACTCCTGTTTCTTCCTGCCCCTTTCTACTCCTTGCTGACCCTTCCTGCTCCTTGCTGCCCCTCCTCCTCCTCCTTGCTGACCCCTCCTACTCCTTGCTGAAGCTTCCTGCTTCTTTCTGACACCTCTTGCTCCTTGTTGACCTTTCCTGGTTCTTGCTGACCCCTTCTGCTCCTTGCTGACCCCTTCTGCTCCTTGCTGACCCCTTCTGCTCCTTGCTGACCCTTCCTGCTCCTTGCTGACCCCTCTTGCTCCAGGCTGACCCTTCCTGCTTCTGGCTGACCCCTCCTGCTTGCTGACCCCTCCTGCTCCTTGCTGACCTTTTCTGCTCCTTGCTGACCTTTCCTACTCCTTGCTGACCCCTCTTGGTCCTTGCTGCCCCTTCCTACTCCTTGCTGACCCCTCCTGCTCCTTGCAGACCCTTCCTACTCCTTGCTGACCCCTCCTGCTTCTTGCTGACCCTTCCTGCTCCTTGATGACCCTTCCTGTTCCTTGCAGACCTTTTCTGCTCCTTGCAGACCCTTCATACTCCTTGCTGCCTCTTCCTACTCCTTGCTGCCTCTTCCTACTCCTTGCTGACCCCTCCTGCTCCTTGCTGCCTCTTCCTACTCCTTGCTGACCCCTTCTGCCCTTTGCATACCCTTCCTACTCCTTGCTGACCCCTCCTGCTCCTTGCTGCCTCTTCCTACTCCTTGCTGACCCCTCCTGCTCCTTGCTGACCCCTCCTACTCCTTGCTGACACTTCCTGCTCCTTGCTGACTGTAACGGCTACCCAGCTGGTAAGGGGTATCTGTCATTGGAGACGTCCTTTTCTAGGCAAGCTGCTGTGAAGTAATGGAGTTCTTATTCCCATCCATGATATCCAAGGGTACAAGAAGGAATCACTGTAAAATGAGGCAGAGTAACTGTACAATAAATCCCCCCCTCCAAGAACGAGACGAGGCTACGTTTTGAAGGGTCAAGTAGAACTGATGTTTATTGACAGGGGTCTCCTTTTATGCAATGCTGCCCTGGAAAGGGCTACACCTACATAATTATCACAATAACCAATCACATACATGGTACAACCCCTACGTCTCCTCCCCTCAGATAAACATTTAACATAATTAAAACATACACAATTTTACCCAAGTTCTGGATTTACCCCAAAAACAGGGGGTACATCTTTAAATCTAGTATTGCCCGGTGGCTCTCATTCAGGGGAACAACATATCCAAATTCCAGCTCATTCGGTTGAGGGGTTCGGGAGTTATGGGTCTTTGAAGTTTTGACCGACCGCACAGACTTTCTAGCCGAAAATAGTTCCACAAGTTTTGTCCTTGCGTTCGGTCTTCATTCGTGCATAAAAACCCCACGAAACACTTGCCATCCACATTCATCCCGGTGTTCGCTGGAATCCCCATGTAAGCTTTAGTCTAACTACCGAACGGCCAGTTGTTCGGTAGTTCTGGCACGAATCTATGGTAATGAAAAGATAGATACACAGTGTAATAGATCTCAACTACTCAAACTAGCAGCTACATACGTTTCACAAGCGTCTGAAAATGATTGTTAGCTCAAAAAAAGTATGTGCGCTCAAAATTACTTTAAAAAATATGATATATTTATTGAGATAAGACTCATATAAAATATAATCAGAATAAATCTAACCAAACAATAAATGAATATAAAAACATGAACCCACTGTTCTGGACAATACACGAATGAACTCTAAATTATAGATACTTAGTATAAGAAAAAATATCAAAACAGCTGCCTAAAGAGTAATACAAATTGTGTAAAAAGAAACAACACAAAATATATATACAAAATAATAATAAATAAAGAAAAATAGTACCTGCCTCGGTGTGGGCCCCCCACCGAGGTATATGTATGAAGATGGGTACTTCAAACAGAAAAACCAAATAAAAAATAAATAAATATAAGTAAGTAAGAGTTCTGAGCAGCGGACCTCCGTCAGATGCCGATGAAAAACACCGTGGTCGGGATCTTCAAAAAAGACCGCGGTGTAGTGGTAACAGACCGCCCGCCGATACAACAAGTAAAAAACAAACAGACTGTGAGCTTATACCGCGGTCGGTATCTTCAAAAAAGACCGCGGTATAAATAGATAAAACAGCGGTCAGTATATCTGAGGATCTTTACTCTCCAGAAATCCGGGATGCGATAACACAAAGAGCTCTAACTCATAAATAAAAATAAAAATAACATGAAAAAGGCAGCTGAAAAAAACAGCGGGTCCAATGATAAAGTGCAGCCACGTCTACGCGTTTCGTCCCGCCCACGGGACTTTATCAAGACTAAATAGCTGCAAAAAAGACCTGATCAAGCTGCAAAAAAGACGAATCTATGGTGTCACGGAGATCTCAGCGGTGTTCGCCTGTTTGCGTATCCGTTTTTAGTTCCAGGCGATCACTGGCAAACACCGCTGTTCGTGCGTAAGATGGCCCCGAACACGTGTAAAGTCCCGAAATGGCGGCCATCTATTCTGAGCATAAAGGATTCGTGCTGAAACATGCGAATGGCTGAAAAGAGCTGGGACGTAAAGTATCACTTAATTGTTCCCCTGGGTGGTCCGGGGTTCGGTAGTTTGGCTTCATTCTCAGGTAATGGTAGTTCACATGAAACAGGCAATTCGGTATTTTGTAAATCCATCTGTGTTATTGTAAATGTGTTCAGGTAGAAAGCACTGCTCCCCTTTTGTGGAACACTCAGGCAGACCCGGATTGATCCTTTTCGGGTCAACTTGGGGCTGTCCGGCCTGCTGTTAGGGTAAAAGTTCTGTTTGCCTGGACAGTCCGTTTGCGTTCCCATTGAACCTACCAGGGCGGTATTGGATGGACGGGCGCCCCGATCGTACCAATGTTTCTGACGGCCCTGGGCCGCCTGGAGATGTTCACGGGCCCATACGGTCCCGCATCTCCAGTACATATGGCACGATAGGAACACCCTCATGCTCTATCTCTCCCTCCTTGGCTTCTGGGTAGCGTGTAGCATAGTCCACTACTGTAAGAATATATTTCTTACCCGAGGGGCTGGGGTTAGGTAGGGGTCCCACTAGGTCGACTGCCACCCGGCTAAACGGTTCCTCGATCACAGGCATGGGTGACAGTCGAGCTTTAGGGTGATCTCCTCTCTTCCCTACTCGTTGGCATATGTCGCAGTAACACCGCACGTCCCTCGAGATCCCAGGCCAGAAAAAAGTCTGTGTGGTGGTGCGTTACCCCCTAGATGCCCTGCCAACGGGATGTCGTGTCCGATTCGTAGAAGTTCCAACCGGTACTTTCTGGGTACCACTAGCTGGCGCTTCTGCGAAGGGACACAGCCTCTTCTCCTACCTTCGGTCAATCTGTATAACCTGTCACCTTCCCATATAAAACGCTCATCCCCTCCACTGTCTGCTAATTCTCGGTACTTTTGGAGGGTGGGGTCCTCTCTAGTTTCCCTCCCAAACTCGTCTGGGGTGTCCCAAGCTATGGTTCTCTCTGCTGTATTAGTGCTAAGTGTCGGTTTGTGGCTTACCTGGGTCTCCTGGCCTGTTGGAGGATCATCTTTGATATGGGTCAGTGAGCGGGTGGTCACGGGACAAGCAGCAGCAGGCGTAGGTAAATAGGCTGAAACAAGAGGGCCAATGTCGTTGCCCAACACGACTTCAGCAGGTAAATTGTCCATGATGCCTACTGTGGTCTTCCCTGACCCGACTCCCCAATCTAAGTGTACCCGGGCGGTGGGTAAGTGAAAAACAGCCCCCCCGCGACATGGACAGCAACTATACGAGTAGACAAATGTTCTGGCTTTACAAGGTGTTTTTGAACCAAAGTGATAGTAGCGCCAGTATCCCTTAGGCCTTGTGCTACCTGTCCATTCACACGCACCCCCTGGCGGTGATGCTGGCTGTTATCTGGGGAGGCGGCTTGTATCGGGTTTGCCTCATACAAGATTCCCAGACACTCCTCCGGGCTCCCTTCGGTCTCCAGGCAGTGGGCAGCAGAGGGGCGTGATGGTGGGATCTCTGTGTTAGGTGTTGTGCGCCTCCAGTTATTATTGGTCGATCCCAAAGGGCAATAACGAGCAATATGTCCCGTGTTGCCGCAGCGATGGCACGTCACCTTAGAAGAATCCCAGGGGTAGTTGTTAGACCCCTGAGGACGTGGAGGTCCTGGGGGTACTGGAGTCCGAAACTCTGTGCGTGCAGCGTAGGTTGGGGTGCGTGGCTCTCCTTTAGCTGTTGGTCGTGTGGTACCCTGGCTCACATTTCTCATCTCTGCGTACTCATCCGCTAGCCGCGCTGCCTCGTTTAAGTTAGCAGGGCGGCGATCTCTTACCCAGTCCTGTATATCCACAGCCAAATCTTGGAAGAAATGTTCCATTAGGAACAACTGCAACACTTCCTCTCCGGTGTTGGCCTTGCACCCTCGTACCCAATGTGATTTGTATCCTGTTTGCCCATTCCATGTGGGAGTCTCCAGCCTTCTTTTTGGACTCCCGGAAGCGGCGGCGATATCTTTCTGGGGTTACAGCATACCTGATGAGCAGTGCGTCTTTCACCCGTTGATACTGCGATATATCCTCTGCAGTAAGTGCCCAAAAAGCTTTGTTTGCTTTTCCTGATAGTTTCCCAGCCAGGATAGTGACCCATTGATCTGGTGGTATCTGGTGTAGTGAGCACTGCCTTTCAAAATCAGCCAAATACCCGTCAATCTCTTCCTCACTTTCCACAAACGCTTTGAACGCAGTGAACGGTATTTTCTGCCCTGTAGCAGCGGGTGGGGGAGTATGAACTGCATGTGCAATGGGTTGTCTAGCTCTTGCCAGTTCAAGTTCGTGTCCCCTCTTATTTTGGATCTCCGCTCTCGCTTCCCAGAACAGCTGTTCGATGAGTTCCACGGAAGTTGCTGGATACAGGAGTAACCTCCGCTGTACAATGCTAGTAATGTCATCCTCCGTGCTGACAGGAGTGGGTTGGTCAGCGACCTCCATGGATCTATCCATCTCGTCCAGCTCCAGTAGGTCAGCTATCAGCTCTCTCCATGGTCGGTTGCTGGCACTCCTTCCCCTGGTTTCCAACAGATCCTTTAGTGTGGGCCTCTCCAGTCTAGCGTACTGTGACTCCATTCAGCACTTGCTTTGGGGATGAAAAGGACCATCCCGCCGCTGCCACCAATGTAACGGCTACCCAGCTGGTAAGGGGTATCTGCCGTTGGAGACGTCCTTTTCTAGGCAAGCTGCTGTGAAGTAATGGAGTTCTTATTCCCATCCATGATATCCAAGGGTACAAGAAGGAATCACTGTAAAATGAGGCAGAGTAACTGTACAATAAATCCCCCCCTCCAAGAACGAGACGAGGCTACGTTTTGAAGGGTCAAGTAGAACTGATGTTTATTGACAGGGGTCTCCTTTTATACAATGCTGCACTGGAAAGGGCTACACCTACATAATTATCACAATAACCAATCATATACATGGTACAACCCCAACGTCTCCTCCTCTCAGATAAACATTTAACATAATTAAAACATACACAATTTTACCCAAGTTCTGGATGTACCCCAAAAACAGGGGGTACATCTTTAAATCTAGTATTGCCCGATAGCTCTCATTCAGGGGAACAACATATCCAAATTCCAACTCATTCGGTTGAGGGGTTCGTCAGTTATGGGTCTTTGAAGTTTTGACCGACCGCACAGACTTTCTAGCCGAAAATAGTTCCACAAGTTTTGGCCTTGCGGTCGGTCTTCATTCGTGCATAAAATCCCACGAAACCCTTGCCATCCACATTCATCCCGGTGTTCGTTGGAATCCCCATGTAAGCTTTAGTCTAACTATCGAACGGCCGGTTGTTCGGTAGTTCCGGCACGAATCTATGGTGTCACGGAGGTCTCAGCGGTGTTCGCCTGTTTGCGTATCCGTTTTTAGTTCCATGCAATCACTGGCAAACACCGCTGTTCGTGTGTAAGATGGCCGCGAACACGTGTAAAGTCCCGAAATGGTGGCCATCTATTCTGAGCACAAAGGATTCGTGCTGAAACATGCGAATGGCTAAAAAGAGCTGGGAGGTAAAGTATCACTTAATTGTTCCCCTGGGTGGTCCGGTGTTCGGTAGTTTGGCTTTATTCTCAGGTAATGGTAATTCACATGAAACATGCAATTCGGTATTTTGTAAATCCACTTGTTTTATTGTAAATGTGTCCAGGCAGAAAGCATAGTCCTGTTACACTGACCCTTTCTGCTTCTTGCGGACCCTTCCTACTCCTTCCTGGTCCTTCCTGCTCCTTCCTGGTCCTTCCTGCTCCTTGCTGGCCCTTCCTGCTCCTTGCTGACCCCTCATGCTCCTTGCTGACCCTTCCTGCTCCTTGCTGCCCCTTCCTAATCCTTGCTGACCCCTCCTACTCCTTGCTGACATTTTCTGCCCCTCCTGCTTCTTGCTGCCTCTTCCTACTCATTGCTGCCTCTTCCTACTCCTTGCTGACCCCTCCTGCCCCTTGCAGACCCATCCTGCCCCTTGCTGACCCATCCTGCTCCTTGCTGACCCTTTCTGCTCCTTGCTGACCCCTCCTGCTCCTTGCTGCCCCTTTCACTCTTCCAATTCCTTGCTGATCCTTCCTACCCCTTGCAGACCCTTCCTGCTCCTTGCTTCCCCTTCCTGCTCC